AGAAAGCTGTGTGTTTAAAAGTTGGAAAAAATTTTTTTCAGGATTTCACCTTAAAAATAATCAGAATTTCCAGATATCAATTTATAAATTTGTGATTCCTCCCTCTTCCTTTCCCTCTCCTCAGGCACAGTAGACGCATACAGTGATTTAGATCTATAGCCCGTGCAGATTATCAACTTGTAACACAGCATATTTTGACCCTGGTGCTGGTCTGGAGAATCACATCTCACAGTGCCAGTGTCCCTCAAGAACTCTGAAGATATATAATGCCAGATCCTTCCTCTCAGCCCAGCTGCCCTGATTCCCAAAGAAAATGTTGTGGAGGGCTGACACCGTGGAATACATTGTAATATGGAGTTCTGAGCACCACACTTACACAGAAAGAGGGGACGTGCTGGAGCACACCCCTCATTAGACACCAGACAATCCAAACAGGGTCAGGACTCACGGTACAAACCATTATGAAGACAGGCTTTGTTGTCTAGAGAGCTCACAGGGAGTTTTTTCTGTAAATGCTGTGGCCAGAAAAGGCAGTCTCCCTGTCCCTTTCCAGGTCTAAGTAGCTCCAGAAGAGTTATACAGTGCCCACCAACACTAAATATACCTAGAACCAGCTGAGAGGAAGCATTGCTTACGGTGATTCCATACCTGAACTTTCATCAGGCAAGCTGAGGGGGACCTGCTGGCACAGATGGCTCCCAAAACACTCAGCTGCAGCCAGTTTTGCATTCCCAGGAGAACCATCACAATGAAAAGACCATCACTGTACCACAGTATTACAGTGCACCTTCCACTCCCAAGGCCAGAACTAGGGTTACCAAGGACTTTGTATTGGTATCACATCTGTGATTTTAAATGTTTAAAGCTTCCAAGCACTGTTCGTTTTGCAGGAATGGATAAAGAAATAAAAGGACAAGGGAGCCTTTACTCTATTCTTCTCCATCAAATCCCACTGGTATCTACAAGGACATTGATAGATGAGGCTCTGTGATGCCAGAGAATTTCTGTACCTCTCTGAGCTCAGTTTTTCAAACGAAACCAATAGAAGGCTGGCTTATAGCAGACGTTGTGTCTTACTCTTTTGGATACTCTGTTATATACCATCAGGATCTGGCTGTCATTTTTGTCACCTCCCAACCCAAAGCTCACTAGCTAGTCCTCTTTCTTGTCCTCTCCCCTGCATCCACAGCTTTCCACAACTACCCCATGCATCCACACACAGAGCACACACACTTGTTTCCCAGAGATCTCTTTGTGAAGCAGGTTGTTGTCTGATGGCCTAATTTCCCCCATGGATTAACAAATGACTCTACCACCTTCTGTAATTCTATCACATTGTCCCCATACTCTTTCTTGCTTCTGGAAAAGTTTGACAGCAGTAGCAAGGGACTGGAGAGCAAAAGGTCCACTGAATGAAACCGAATTAAAAGTCTTGGACACCTGCAGTGTCAGTGTTGGACAGCCATCTGTCCCTCATTTGAAAGCACCATTACTGTCTGCCATACCTAATGTTGCTTGTCCCAGACAAATGTTAAGATTCTGCATGAACTAAGTTGATGTACAGGGCCTTGCTTTGCAAAACTATCCTTTATTTTAAAGACAGGAAGAAAGGTATTTCCTTTGTCTTCTAGTACATTACTGAAATCAGAAGAGTTACACTAACTCCTTCTTCTTTAACCCACACCTCTTTCTATCCGCACACTGCCGAAAGTACAAAAACACTAGACCAGGTATGACCGTATTCCCTCTTCACATATACATGTCCTCTCCACAAATATGTATATTTATACGCATATGTATATGAAATTACTTAAAATATGCTAGACTGATGCATATGCATACCCTCACACATGCACACACATCCTTCACACACATAAGTGATGAAACTTTTCATGAGACCAATGTGCTGGGAGCAAAAAAGAGCAAGAAAAAGCTTTTTTGATGCTAAATTCTGGAGCGTACTATTCACCCAAGAAAAGAAGAAATAGGTCTTTAAGGACTTGATAGGTCTGAACATTTGTCTGCTAACAATGAAATATCAGTTTAGCAAGAGAAAAGCTTCACAGGCTCGTAAAGGAAGCACAAAGTGATATAATTTATGGGTTTGGCTTCTTTATTTAAGGAAAAACTGATTATCCATCTCCTCCCTAACTTATTTTTCTGTATGTTAGTTGAATTGGCAGACGAATAACAGGTTTTTTGTAGGAGACACAGAAAACTAGATTCTCTTTGACGGTGTGCTTGAGAACTGTTTTTTACTACTGAAACTGATAATGTTTCCCTGTCTGTGATGATATTGAAACCAAGAGATCTCAAAAGCTAGGAGATATGGCAGTCAACAACTCATCTACAAACACTGTAGGGCCTTTGCTATAAATTGGAAAACACATGTTGCAAAGCAAAATTTACTAGTAGTCATTGGGGTTTTTTCTTCAGAGGACTTCCTATACTTCTAAAAACTCATCCAGACACAAATCAGAATCAGAGTAGGAATAAAGGGGGGAAGTTTCATAGTCTTTGCCATGTAAAAAGTCAAACTGTGTAGATCCAGTCAATTTGACAAGTCAGTGGTGTTGAGTCAAACCATATCCTTGGTAAATAAATGCCCACATCATATAACCATCACCATATTCAGCATTCAACAGTGAATCTTGTTTACTTCTAATCACAGTGGTTAAGATTGAATGTTCAGAGCAGCTGTTACATCTTCACATTCTGGGAGATAAATGTTCAGTCATAACAGAAAGGGGAGGAACATGAAGGTCTCATTGGTCAGCAGAGAACGACAGATTCTGTAAGTTTAGCATGTTTCTCTGCTGAAGTCATGAATATAGAACTGATTTGAGTGGTTAGTATTTTATTTTCTATCACTTCAGTTTTTAAAACCATTTCGCAGCAGCTCAGGAATCAGGTGATCGGTAAAGCCAGACGTAAGGTGCTTCTTGCACCAGGACCTCACAGAGATCTCTTGGGGAAGGAGCAACAGCATCAACATGGCTGAGCAAAGAGGGGCGTGTCAATGTTTGGAGAAGATTTTCTCGGGAGGGGGGTGTTTGTTTTTTTGTTGGTATAGGCAGGAAGCTTAAGATGTTATCTGCAGGCTACAATGTGTGCCATTTTAAACACACTGCTCTTAATAAATACCGACAGCAAATCAGGACAAGAACAGACGCAAGTTGTTTCAGGCGACTTCTGTCAAGTGAACAGTAATGCGCCAGGATTAGTGGCAATCCTCTCCATATTGAAGAGAGCAAGTCGCCTGCAGATGAAGTGCTCCAGGCATTGCAGTGGGTTTATCAAGGGGTCCTTGATATTCTGGAGCAGACGTACAGGCTGCAGCATTATCAGTAGCTTTTCAATTCAGCCATGTCGTGCTGAAAACTGGGTGCCAGTAGTGGTGGCTGTGGGAGGCACTTGTTTTTAATTCCAGAAGCATCCTAAAGTACCCCACATCCCAGTGGTTCCCAGACTGTTGCCTTCACTCCTGTGATGTTGCTAATGCAACTAGACTTGCTCTTAATAACTGAAATGTTAAAAGCACAGTATCGGCAGGGCAACAGTTTGAGCCAGTGAACCATTAACTTCCATTCCATCGTGTGCAATCAAAGTCAAAGTTCAGTGGGGCTCAAAAAGGCAATGGCAACTACCCCCAGTGTCAACATCCTCCCTTATAGCATGTGTCCCTTGAAAATGCCAGCTCTGAGGACAACCTTTTCTCGTATAATTTTATTAAATGAGTGCTAATATCTTGAGGCACATTATTCTTCTCTCCATTCCAAGAAAGGGAGAAGGTGTATGGATTAGCTCTTTATGTATAAAGACACCTCTTGCATACTCCTGAATAAAGATGTCTTTGGACAGACGGTGCTGAAGACCTATTCTTCCTTTACCTTTCAGCAGCTTTATGCCATGCTACTAGCTTAAGACTGCCTAAAAATTAGGACTAACCAATTTTATTGAGTTACCATGAAGGAACCTCATAACAGAGCCAGCTGTGGCTTTTTCTAATAACACCATCAAGGCTAGTTTCCAGAAGAATCTATCTGATCGCTGGCATCTGGTTTGAATTGCTTTGTACATTAGCACTGAGAGCTGACTCAGTCTCTGGGCACCTCAAAGGTCACTTTCAGGCACAGATTGGTTTGCTTGCTAGATCCTTGTCCACAGTTGAGCATATAAATTTGTATTTCCAATTCAATTTAAAGGAAACATCTTAAGCAAAATCTGTCCCTGTAAGACCTATAGGCTGGAAAATAATGAAAAGCCAGGAAATTAAGGTAAAAGCAGCATCTCACTTTCCATGGAAGCCATTTCTTAAAAAACCTGTCACTGCTTCTTCTGGGATTTAGATGTGCAGCACTTCTTGTTAAGAGTTTTAAAAGAGGCAATTAACAAAATACATATTATGGTCTCTTTGAAGCTGCATGGTGGGGTCTTGCTCTAATAACTTTGTCTGTGGAGCTCCTGTCTTGCCCCACCTCCATCTTGAGCTCAGGAAACATAAGTAAAAGGAAGGCAGTCTGGAATTCCTCCCTAAATGAACTTCTAGCACAGCAAAAGGGTTTATATGAACTTAGAAGGTTTTCCCCTGCTCATTCTGCGTTTATAACTAACAGGAACTTTTCTTGCCTTTTTTTTTTACCCCTCCCCCTTTTTTTTTTTGCCTCATTAGCCTTCCAGCAAAAATGCTGCATTACACATGATTCTGAAATGGTCTGTATTCTCCACGCAGTTTTTATGCAGTATATAAAATAGCTTAATCAAACACATACCAAAGGAGGCGTACACGTGCACAGGGTGAGAGACAGCAGGCACACCTGAGACTGAAGTGCATCCTGTTCATAAAGGGAGATATAGTGCTGATGGCATTTCACACTGAGGTATCCAGGGACCATCACATGGCTTGATGAGACCAAGGAAGCTCAATAGACTTTCCAAACCTAATTAGTACTTAATGATCTGGAGAGACACGAATGTCCATCACCTCTGCTTCAGCCCCTCTGTTCTTCCTCAAATTCTTAATTAACCTTTAAGGAGATGATGTGCTGATGAGTTTCCTAGGATATTGCATTGATTTTTTTTCACACACGCACACATACACACTTGTGCACGGGCTCATACACACCACACACTCCAGCTCACATATTAAAGAAGCTCTGATACAATTTCTCAGCTCCAATGCACTCCACACAAGGGCTCTGCTGATCAGTGTTTATTAATGAAGCGCTGCCTCGAAAATTGTTAATTGATGGCAATGTACAGAACGTTGTCTGGAATTTAACCTTATTCATCATTTAAGTATGTTGGAAACTAGAGCGTGGTGTTAATTAATAGTGTAAGAACAAAGTTGGATCGTTCTGCTGTGGATCTAAAAAACAAAATCGTACAAGCAAAGAGAGGGAGAAAAAAGCTGTGATTAAATATAAAACCAGAGCAAAAAAGTGAGAGAAAATGGAGCCAAAGCCAGTGTCATATTCAAGATGACTCACTTTGTGCCGATAATGAAATAAAAATTTTCTTGTGAGCTTATGTAATATTTTACTGTTGTGTCATATTTAATCAACTCTGAGTTTTAACAAGCTAAGTAGAAGGTGGGGGGAAGCTGCTACCAATGAAGTGAAAACAGATTAATAAGTTTTGAAAAGTTAATAGCCAAATTTTCAGATTAAAAAAAAAAAGTAAATCAATGTTGGTAGCTGAATTCACCAGGGGGGGAAAATGACAAATGGAGGATGCCTTACTTAAAGTTCACTTAATAACAATCTAAATATATGGTGATAATGTAGTTTGCAATGCTAACAGCTGCACTCTTCCAGGCTTGTCTAGATGTTTTCAAGGCTGCTTGTTCTCCACGTCATATGCTTGATCAATGAAAACATATCTACCCACATATTCATTTAAATGAGTTATTACTGCAGAGTCAACATGCTGCCATTTGAGTGCATATAACACTGTAGTGATGTTGCCTTCCACAGGACTGTTGCCCTTGCACTTGAAGCACTTGAGTTTGGGCTCAGAATTCCAGTGCACAAGCTTCAGCCAGTTGTATTCAGGAAAATGGACCACCGTTATGAACCAGTCTTCTGGTCCATGCAGGACCATTTAGTTTGCCCCAGATCATACCCAACATACAGGATAACAGGCAGATAGCTTGGACATTCCTGGCTGTGCTGAAAAGCCACAATACTGTGCCCTTATAGACTAAAGCCCAGTTTCTGCCTGAAATCACATGACAAAGTCTGTGTAGAGCAGCGGCTGAAGTCTTGCACCTCATTGGACCTGTCTTTGCGTGCAATTTCTGTGGGGTCTTACCCCTAAAGAGATATATCAGTGACTCTTAGGTTTGAAAATGTGGAGGATGTTGTGAACATGTTGTGTGCTCTCCGTTCCAGAAATCCTATCTCCTAAAATGAGATGATGGTCTGAGGAAATAGAGGAAATGAAAGACAAATAATCCTTTTTTTTTTTTTTAAAGAAGAAAACATATCGAGAGAGAAGCAAAGGTACTGCCAGATTTTCCTGAATTTCAGGAAAATGCTGCTCAGGGGTTAATCCAGTCCTCTGCTTTCAGTTTAAAAGAAAAAAAACTGCCATTTTGAAAAAAGGATAAATCCCATCCATTTTCTTTATTTCCAAACTCTTTTCTCCCTTATATTCCAGAAAGTATTCCGGATGTTGACCAAATTTCTGACTTATTCAGATCCCCATAAAAATTAATTTTCAATTTACTTTTCTGGGTTTTTTGAATGTATTTCTTAATTTCTATTTGGGAGGATAAGGCATGAAATGATAAAAGAAGTTGTTTAACCTACCTTCAGGCCCCAAATTATGATTAGTTCTGTCTGTGTCATCCCTTGAGCCTGTAACTCTGGAATCATTTGGCTATTGTTGTGATGGGAATGGATAAGTACATAAAGCCTAGAGGAGAATGGGAAATGGATGGTGTGGAACCTGGAGCACAGGAGAGGACAATGCAGAGGCATCAGGGGCCATGGAGGAAGTCAATGACTAATGGATGCCATGGGAAGGAAGAGATACTGTCTTGTCCAGATCTCTGAAGATGAGAAGCAAGGTCCTGGCATTGCATGTGGGATTTGAATTAAGCCCAGATTCCCTCTGATGTAATTAGTGACTGCTCGTGTGCAGCACACTCTAATGGTTGGAAGTGGGAAGGTATCCAAAGAGCATGGAAAGTTTCAGAGGTATCTGCAGTATATCAGTAGCAGGATGGTGTTTTGCAGAAAGCACAAGAGAACATTTCCTGTTCTGCACTTCATGACCTCTAGCTGAGATCTGGTTGTCCTGATATCACTCTACTTTAAGCTTTCCCTGAGAGCTGATTCAGGCTTTGTTCCCTCTTCTTCCATCACATGCCTGGGGGCATAAAGGACACCCCCCTACCCACACTAAACATGTAACCTGACATGTAAGTCATGTAAATCCCCATCTCTCAGCCAGGACATTTCTGGTGTTGGTGGCAAGAGTGCTCTGTAATTAATGGCTGTTAAGTGAAGTCAGGTAGCTTTTTTTTTCTTCTGAGAGCCAAAAGCAAACAAATGCCCCATGGACCAGGATCATTTTAGTTCCTATTTTATGGGCAACCCTGACTACAGAACCTGGCAGCATCTGGACAAGTGGAGGTCAGCTATTTTTTCCATCTTTCTCTAATCACGTTCTTCTACTTCTTACTGAGAAGAAAGTTTTTCTTCTAGCTGTGAAAATTTGTTTAGATGAGCAATGAAAGGGAAAATACATCGCCTAAATTTAGGACCATAGGTGACTAATTAAAAAGAACAATGGTCTTATATTTAGGAAGACTGCTTAATGGTGGGCCAGAGCATCTTTTAGTTCTAGAAAATCGAATGAATAAACAAATAAATACATAAATTAAAAGGAAAAAAACTCACCTGCTCACTCTCTGGAATCCCAGGGGTTTTAGAGGGTCAGGGGTGGCCATCTAGATCACCAAAGGCGACCCAAAGCTGGCAGCTTAGTGACTGTGTTCTTAGCAGTGCTTACACCCAGCCCTGGAATCTGTTTAACTGAGCAAAATAAACATGTTAATCATGATCCCGGGGATTAGCTTGTAGTCTGCTTGAAAATCGCTGCATCATTTTTGGCCACCAGAGTTGCTCTTTATCGGAGCTGGTTTCACAGAGATTAGGCCTCAGCAGGGCCCTCGGAAGTGTACCCAGCAAACTCCCAAGGGATTTTGGGGTCAGTGGTGAAGTACCTTGCAAACAAGCTCCTGGCATGGGTCTCCCAAAGAGGCCTCTTCTGATCTAGCAGGGAGAGTGTTAAACTGTGGATTGCTGTTCTTGCTTCACCCCCATGAGCGATATGAATGTGAAGGGGTCTGTTGTGTTCCCCCTCTTCTCCCACTTATCACCTGTGTAGGTTACATAATTTTTTGCATCAGTGTTTGTCTCTTGTATTTATCACACTTCTCCTTGGCGGGGAGAAGGCACTACCTTGGTGGGATTTTGTTTCTGGGGCACAGGCACAAGGCAGAGCCAGTTCACTCTTACCTCCAGCATGAGTCCACCAGAGAAGCCCTGCAGAAGACAGTGCTCAGCATCTGCCAGGAGCTAGAGGAGCTGGAGAGTGGTGAGGCACTGGCACAGGTTGCCCAGAGAAGTTGTAAATGCCCCATGCCTGCAAGTGCTCCAGGCCAGGCTGGGTGGGGCTCTGAGTAACATAATCTAGAGAAAAGTGTCCCCGCCCACAGCACGGAGGTTGGAACTGATGATCTTTAAGGTCACTTCCAACTCAAATCATTCTATGATTCCATGATTCTATGATTCTGTGATTCTGTGACTACACAGTGGGATATTCACTGCCTTCTTAACCCTGAGAGAGAAGTCCTCCCTATCTGTCCCAGTTAACTCCTGCACTAGTGATCTTTGCTTTCCATTGTGGGTGAGAAGAGACTTTTGATTCTGCAACCAGGTGAGCTACCAATGACAACGTTCAGCTTTCACTGTTTTGACTAGGGACCATGTCTTTACATGACAAAAGGTCAGAATCCTTTCTCAAATAACTTTTAGTAAGCACTTAGCCTTGGAAAGACAGAACTTGGAAAGAAAGGCTTTGTCTCCTAGACCTGGGAAAGATATGCACAGGGGCGATCAGAGTGGAGTCATCAAGCAGATGATTGAAGCTCCTGTTCTGTTTTGCTAACAAATATGTTTTAATCAGGTAACACTGATGGTGGTGAGTGTGGCACTACCTGTTTGGTGCATAGTAGGACCCACTCAGCTCTCTGAGAGACATTCGCATACTAGTTTGAGTATCTCACTTGTCACTAGCAGGTGCTTGTAATCAAACAGGGCTCATTCCACACTCTGTAGTTAGCCTTTCTACAACACTGTCGTGCACATAAGACATTCACTCCATCCTTCCTATTCCTTGATGTCTTCTTCCAGTGATCAAACTTATGCATACCTATTAGCAAACAGCCTCAGCATCCCATAGTGTTATTTGAATGACAATACGATAAAATAATAATTAAAAAAATAATTAAAAGATATCCAAACCTAACTGGGGAATCTTTAGGGAACTTTTCTCAGTCCTTCTGCCTTGACATGTAAAATGTTGATTTCATTCCTTTCCTTCTCCTACCATGTCTGTGCTTGCTTCCTTTCTCCCTCTTTTCCTCCCCACTCATCCCTACAGGTATAAATAACTCAAAAAACATGTAGCTAACAATGCTGTGTCAGCTCCTGCTGTGCCACATGCTGCCTCCTTGCCACATGATGCACGTCGGACACACATTCTCACCCTGTGAGTTGAATGGGTTGTATGCCCGTGTTTGAAATCAAGCACATGCTGAAGCCCTCTGCTGAATGCAGGACCTAGGTTGTGTCATTGATGGTGTACAGACAATTCCCCCTTTACAAGTGGGGACCAGAATCCACTTCCCAGTGCAAATGCTGAGTATTTATAAGACTAATAGACACAGGTGTGAGAGTCTTTGAAACAGCAATGTCAAGAGCTGTCTGGTGTCAGTGTAGAAAGAGGTCTCTGTTTGATCTTCCTGTGACCAGGCTAAAGGCTTGTGTGAGCCCAAAATGCATGTTGATTCAATTCCACATCCCTGTCCTGGAGTTCCTTTGGAAATGGAGCATTTGCTGAAATGAAACAAAGCAGTCATTACAAATGCTAGTCATTAACAGTGTGAACCTTCATATTCACCTGCCAAGACATTGGTAGCAACTCAGCAGTGTTGTTCCCTGAGCACCGACTGTTGGGTTTTAATGACATTGTTCTATTAGAGCTGTTCAAATCAACCATTTGAGAGCTGTCTGGCTGCTGTAGTAAAAAACATAATAATAATTTGACCTTGACATCCTCTTCCATCTCATCATCCTAGTGCTCTTTGGGGGCAATCATTCATATAGTATACATTTTGTGTATAGTCTGTCACTCTTCCTCCTGCAGTCCTGGTGGGATCAATGTACAAGCTTCTTTATGTTGCACTAACTTTACTCAGCACCTAAATACTTCTGTTTCTGTGGGTGCTTTGTAAATGCCTTTGTGCCAGCGTTTCCTACTATGGCTCTATGCCTATGAGAATTGGGCTCTCGTGTTACCTCCTTCATGCTTTACTACTTTGACTGTGTATGTCTTTATTAATATGTGACTAATAGTACTTAAATTCTGTCTGCTCACCCATCTGCTTGAATGCAATAGAGTCTCCTAATTGTCACAGGCAAAAACCTTCACAAATGTCAAGATTAGACCATCAGGACTGTGTAGTTCCCTTATTATCAGAATAAGTCTACTTTTCCACTTTACATCACTAGGCCAGGGCTAATGAAAGGCAGATGGACAGGTCTGTAGAAGTCAAAAGACAAGTTCATGCTGGTCTCTCATGGCAAACCTCCCTGAGAAGTTACTATCTTCATCTCATCTGACATCATCTTGTCAGTTAATGATAGTGTCCAGGTTTTTACAATGAAATGAAGATTTGAGTGGACTGATCCCCAAGCCCCAAAAGATGGTTTTATAAGTAGTGGCCAATTCTGTTACCAGTCTTCCAAGATATTGCAGCAGGAAATTGAGTTCAAGCATAGAAACAGCTTACTGCAAAATTATCTCTTAACAAGGGTTTAAATACCACATCAGTAGCAACACAAATAGAGAGAAATTAGGTCTGTAGTAAAAATGTAAACAATTTCATTTATGCTACCTTTCCTCATCAAAAAAAAAAAAAAGTTGACAAAAACAATTGTATAAGGTCCTTAAAATTTATCCATTGGATATTTTGATTCCATGGACAAATAGTAAGTGAATGCATATATAAATATTTATATTTTAAAAGGCCACCATGCTGTGAATAGCAATTTGGGTAACTGATGCTTATATCTTCTTCCATATACCATAATCTTAAATTAGACTCCATGGATATGGTACGTATAATAGTCTCTAGTCTTAGTGGAAAAAAGGAGTTCATCATGGGAACTTTTGCCTACAGAGTATCCTGAGAGGCTTAGTATGTCTGGGGAAGCCATCTCACAGAAGAGAACGATGGCAGGGAAATGAAAACACACTCCCTCTGGCAGCATCTTCAGCCTGAAATCTTTGGGGTGTTCAGGATTTGAAAGGAAAAAAAAAAAAAAGATTCTCCATAGACACCACATTTGTTTCATGAAAAAAACATAGAGCTCAAACACTAAATTTCTCTGCAGAAACAGCCTGATTTCACACTAAATGGTGATTAAGACCCAAGAGGAGAGGCTTTCTCCAGAATGCAGCCACCCACCCATCCCCCAGATTTCTTTAGCCAAAGAAGTGCTATGAGGAATAAGATCGTCACGACCTTGTGGAGGAGTCTCAATGAGATCCTTGTGATCGTTCTGTTTGGCTCCAAGTCATATGCAATAGCGATGTCTTCCTGTTTCTTCCCCAGCCATATTCCCGAGGGCAGACAGGGAGACCACAAGGAAAATGAGCATTTTGTACAACTGCTGCTGATGTCCAATGTTCACATGTGGCACCCCCTTGTCACCAGAAAGGCGATCTGGTTTTTCATTTGTTACTGACCTGAATTTAATTCTGTGAAGTGCCCCTCAGGGGAGGAAAAAATACAAAACCCACCACCAAAAAAACCTATGTCTCTCCCATTACTATCCCTTTGGTTATCCTGTCCTCTACTGCTGCAAGAGACCTGCCACTAGCAAATTCCCAAACCATTCATTTATTTCCAGGGCTGTGCTCTGAAGCCTCATTCTTCAAACATAACAAATCCAACAGCTTCATGAGTTGAGCTATTGTGGATTTTTCCCTGTGACTGCAAATGGGAATGGTCTGTACAAATGAAAGCCCAGATCTCTCTGCTATTACAAGTAAAAGAGTCTGGGTGAAATATCTGCTGAAGAATATATTTTATGTGTTTTCTTTAACTGTCCATCCAAAAGTGCTGAGTGATGGTTGGGTGCTGTTAGGAGGCACTGATAATGGCCTTACATTTATAAAGTACCATCCATCCAGATGGACTCCCAAAGTACTTTATAAACTTTACTAACTGGTTGTTCCAGCTCCACACGTCACCTTATATCTATCCATCTGTTCACAGCTATAACCTTGTACAGAGTATTTCTCTTACCACTAAAGGGTGGCTATTCTGGGTTTGGGATGTAACTGATGTTTAAGAGCTCACATCAACGTGGAGTAACAACTCCATGGCTTAGCCCTTGCTTCTCTTCCATACTTCTGTTGACTTCAGCATGAATTAAAACTAGGGAGCATGAAATGAAGCTGCTGAGGAATCAGGTCAAAAGAAAGACAAGGAGGTGATTTTTGTGCAGTAGAGCAGAGTAAGGCATCTCACTGCCACCAGCTGCTTAGATGTAAAAGTTTACACAGATTTGTGGGGAAGTTCACAAGTTCATGGAAAATGTTGATCCCACATCCACCTCTGCCACAGAGATGTGCAATGGGTCTGGACAGATTGCTGTCAGCAGCCCCCCTTATGTCACAGCTGGATTTTGTGTGTCTGTGTAAGTTTTCCTTTAACAATGCCCATGCAGAGGACCCAACAACAGGGCTCCTCGTTTGGGTGGTGACTTGCCCAACTGGACATCATCAGGGGGTGTTGGCTCTGTGCTCTCTCACTGGTTTATTGAAAGGAATTTGCCCAGATTTTAATCCCCCTTTACCTCCTTGTACCGCTGTTAAGTCCTGAGTTGAAACTGCGATTGCACCAGTACAGAACACGGAGACAGTAGTTGGGGCAATCAGTTTGCACTTAAAATACTTAATCAGGGACTAATGAAAGAAAAGCCACAGTGAAGGGAGAAGGAGGCAGTGAGGGTGTATTGCTACTCTCCCCAGGTGAGATGGAAAAGGTTTACCCAGTGCTTCCTCATCCCAGAAATTTT